AATATCTTGGCTATTCACAATAAACCCGCGCAACTCATTTTTTCTTTGAGCTTGATCTTGTTGAAAAGATTGTGGGACTGAGCATTTAGCCAAGCTAAAATATTTATCCCGCGTTGACATTTGCAATGGGAGGGGGGGTGGGGGGAGGGTGGACTAGAGGGAGGAAGAGACTGAAACCTCACCCCCTCCCCTACTCCCTTGCTCCGCTGGGTAAGGCTTCAATAATCAATTTTATCAAATAATCAATCACTTAATTGATTATCTAAATATTGTCAATGAGGCGGGAAGCTCTTAAAAATAAATGTGGACTTCAAACATTTGGAAGGATGAAATAAACTTTAATCGTGGGAAAGAGTATTTGTGATGGCAGATCAACAAAGGTCAACATTTCCGGTGTAGAGCTTCGCGTGTAACAACTGACTATATTTCTACAACGTTTAACCCTTAAACTCTCATGAGTGACCAAGAGAGAATTTCTCCTTACAATATCTTTACAACATCAAGCATAGACGTGATGAGAATAAAGTAAAATATCAATTAGCGATTATTCATTGATCCAATGCCAAATTCTCCAAACTGACATTATAAGAATTGAATGGCAGACGGTAAGGAGAATTACTAATGAGATCTTGGGAATTAAAGGGTTAACCTGAGAAAAGAGAAGAGAAACGATCCGCTGGGTTTCGTTTAAAAAGGTCTGTGGATACATCTTACGGTTTGAATGTGATATTTCATCCTCCTTACTCGTAATTTCATCCGTATGTGTTTCTTTCGGATACCGAAGGCATTTTCGCCCTTGATTTGATAAGAAAGTCGGAAGGACTGTTTTTTTTTTTTTTTTGCATTAAAATGCGACAGCAGGCCCTTTTGAAAGTGATATTCTGAGGTTTGCGCCATACATAGACGGGTGGTCACTGTTTAAAAACAATCTTTGCGTGTTTCGGTTTAACCAGAATGTAAACACAGGTTTTAAGACGTTGCAAAATGTGACTACGTGATTCTTTTGTCTTTAAACTTGCAAGGCCGTTTTAATGTCGGCGTTAACCTTTCCGAAATATCAAACAATGAAACGCTGTCCAACGAAAGAATTAGAAAAAATCCTTACATCAGAGGATTATCGACACAAACTTTTTAATTCTCTGTAATTCAGTGTCTCAAATCAGTGAGGCCTCAAGCTACAGTGTTGAAAATAAGCTTGCAAGCTTATTGTTGTACCAGTGAGTCTGATCCATGTATCAGTTGGCGGCCAACTGATACATGGATCAGACTCACTGGTACAACTATAATGCAACTGATAGACAACATGCAGTTGTTTGTGCCACTGTTTTCTCCATGGCCTAAACTGCACCGAAGCGGAAAACCCTTCACTTCGGAATTTTTTTTTAACAATTCACTCGTTCCGTAGGAATGCTTTACCACACCAACACAAGGAAACATATCCTACGCTTTGTCATCCAATCTACCTATTTACAAGAATAGTGTTTGCGCAAAATTTATTGTATGCACTACCACCGACGCAAAGAATAACTGAAAATGAAATGCTTAATCTCGTTGAGCTGATCAAAAGTTCAACCATACTTGATAAATTCTCTTGTCGTAAATAACTCAAATTATATAAAGCTATCTCAGATCGTGAGAGAAATTGGCATCCCTCGGTCATAGTTACAGGGAATTATCTCCTAGGTTGAAAAGTGCCTTGTTATATCAGCTCACATTCATTCCAACTCGATATCACTCTCAGAATTGGATTTTATAGCAATTCCTCCATCATCCTGGCCGCGCGTTTGACCTTCTGATATCTCGTTCAGTTCTAATCCTGCACGGTTTTCTTTCTCATCACCGTCGTATTCGTGGGCGTCAACGCATTTTAAGCTTTGGAAATATTCGGCCACAGTACACGCCAGTCGTTTCGCCTCACTTTTTGTCTCGCACAAGAAGGCTTGCGTTAAGAAAACCTCGCTTTCTTCTCCCTCGAGATGATGATAATTGAACACCAGAATCTTTCGCCGTTTGCTGTCAACTCCGCAATAAATAATTCGGCTGAAATCATAAACAATCTTCGTACCTTGATCCTCGCCTTCGTTAAAGCAAAGTTCAAAGCAATTGTCCTTGATCTGTAAAGTTTGTTTTGGAAGCAATTTCTGCTTCAGTTTCGCCTTACAGTTCTCAAATATCTCCTCCACAGAACCGCAAATTCCTTCGCCAATAGGGCACAATATCTGCACGCTTCCGAGGTAGATAACTGAAAAATTGTCTTGCCGTTCACGCCTATCTCTTCGCCAAGAGAGGCTTATATTTCGTAGTGTCGAATACGCCATTCTGGTACGCCTAGGAATCAAATTAGAAAGCGAATATTGTCGTGCATTCCCGTGTTCCCACATCTGTAAGCCGAATAGCCTTCCTTAATCTTTAAGTAAATTCCGTCAACTAACGATATCAACTACTTTGACTGAAGTCGATTAACATGCAACAGGAACTGCGCAAACATAGCAGATACGAAAACAAAATATTTGTTTTATGATATTGTTACGAGTGATATATACGTCAATGGGACATCAAAACAGCTCCATCCAATTGGCTGTTTCTCTGTAAGTAAATGTTAAAAAAAAGAATAGTTTATACTCAGCACTGGTAATTATCCTTCGCGGTAATCATTTCAGGAAGCACTACTTCAGTTAGCTATGGTGAATATGGAATGTTGTATTGTTTGCGCGCTAACAGTCTTTCATGCGATCAGTCGACTGGCTTTGCAAGACACTATCTCCTGCTTTGCATCCTAATTACATATTTCAATTTCCTAAATTAAAGAGTTGGTCTTCATGGAATTCTACGTTACGGATATACAAACAAAGGAAAGTTTTGAAAAGCTGTAAGCTTGTATCTATTTATGAATGATATTTTTAGTTCTTTAGCAAAGCTATAGACCTCTATAATCACGTATAGCCTTTCTTTAATTGGCCCCCTTAAAGAAACACTGCAGCAGAGAAGAATAACAAGGAGTCTTGAATTTTAGATTTTGATAACATCCGGTAGCTCCCAAGGAAAACGCTTAGAGGAAAATGTGGTGATGTATGGTAAATAATACCACAGGCGGCCCAAGCTCCAGCTGTGGGATTATCATCTTGCGAAATAAGAGTCATGGCGAAATTATAAGAGTTTGTATGGGAATA